TAGATGGATGGATGGAAGATGGATGGAGGATGGACGGATGGATGGATGGAGGATGGGCGGGGGGAGGATGGCTGCCTGGCTGACCAGCTGGTTGGCTAGGTGGGTGAATGGATGATGTATGGATGTATATCTGTATAGAGGATGAGTGGGTGGGGGATGGCTGGCTGAGGACCAGTTGATTGGCTAGGTGGGTGAATGGATGATGTATGGATATATATCTGTATAGACGATGGGTGGGTGGGGGATGGCTGGTTGGTTAGCTGACTAGATGGATGGATGGAGGACAGAGGATGGACGGATGGATGGATGGAGGATGGGTGGGTGGAAGATGGCTTGCTGGCTGGCTGGCTGAGGACCAGTTGATTGGCTAGGTGGGTGAACGGATGATGTATGGATGTATATCTGTATAGAGGATGGGCGGGTGGGAGATGGCTGGTTGGCTGGATGACTAGACGGATGGATGGATGGATGGATGGATGGATGGATGGACGGAGGATGGATGGACGGAGGATGGGTGAGTGGAGGATGGCTGGCTGGCTGAGGACCGGTTGGTTGGCTAGGTGGGTGAACGGATGATGTATGGATGCATATCTGTATAGAGGATGGGTGGGTGGTGGGGCAGGTGGGCAGGCAGTTGTTTGTGAGGCATCTTTTTTGCGTGAGGCACTGTGTGAACTAAGTGCTTTATGTTCTGTGGTCTCGCATCATCCTCCCTGGGCTCCCAGTGAGACAGAACTCACATGCTGCATCAAGTGAAAGTGAGGCTCTCGCATCCTTGTGCAGAGGTGCAGGTGGAGGCTCAGAGCTGGGCTGTAAGTCCAGCTGGTGTTTGAGCTCTCTCTCTGAATGCTTCTTAGCAATAAAACAAGTCCTTCCCCATAAACAAAACCTCACAAAAATCTAAGGACCATACCACTGCCATGCTGTGTGTGCAGCAGCCACCTCGCCAGCCTTTCCCCAGACGGGGTTCAGCTCTGTGCAACAGCCAGATTGTGGGAGGTGCCCGGCCGTGGTGGCTGCTGCACTAAGTGCCTTCGAGAATTCCCGGAGCTGGTTTAGAGGAAGAGGCTCTGCACCCCTGGGCTGCCTGGCCGTGGTGGCCGCTGCGCTAAGTGCCTTCGAGAATTCCCGGAGCTGGTTAGAGGAAGAGGCTCTGCACCCCTGGGCTGCCACAACCGCGCTTCACGGAGGCATCCCTGCCCAGCAGCCTCCAGGGAGGGCCGGCTCACTCTGCCCATCTCTGCCAGGGATTGAGAAGAGGCCCTGGAGAGCCTCATCCGCAGCCCTGGGGAAGGGTGGCCAGGCTTGAAGACAATGACCCCTGCAGAGCAGATGGGACTGAGAAAGGACTCGTGGCCAGAAGGCAGAGGTGAGCAGGGTGAGGTGATGCCCAGGCTCCACCCAGCCGAAGAAAGCAGCGCCTACTTCCATCTGTCTCCTCGGAAGGAAGGTCGGCGTCCTCGCTCTTGTCATCTACTGGAGGCTCTTGGGAAGGCATGACAGAATCCTGCCGGAGAGACAGAGAGACGGCAGCATGACCAAGTGCTGGAGCAGGTGTTACAAGGTAGCTTCTGTAAACACTTCGTGACTTTTTTTTAATTAAAAACATTTTTTTTTTTTACAGACAGGGTCACACTCTGTCATCATCCAGGCTGGAGGGCAGTGGCATGATCATGGCTCACTGCAGCTTCAACCTCCTGAGCTCAAGCAAAATCCTCCCGCCTCAGCTTCCAGAGCAGCTAGCACGACAGGTGTGCACCACCACACCTGGCTAGTTTTTGAATTTTTTGTAGAGATGGGGTCTCACCATATTGCCCAGGCTGGTCTTGAACTCCTGGCCTCAAGTGATCCTCCCACAGTGTTGGGATTACAGGCGTGAGCCTCTGCACCTGGCCACTTCAAGACTATCTATGATTCACATATTTGCACATTACAAACGTTATATTGTAATATAGTATATAAAAATCTAATTATGCTATTGTACCAAATAAAGAACATAAACACTACCTATAATTCTGCAGACAAAGGTGGCCACTCAGTACTGTAGGCCAAGTGCTGTCTACAATGGGATCTTTTGCACAATGCTGGGTCATCTCTCCTGTCCCAAAGCTGCATCCTGGCAGTAACCAAACATCAGGGGGCCATTCTAAGGGCCTCTGGGTTCCGCCTGCAGGTGCATCATAATGGAGTCACCCGTACTGGCGGTCAGTTGGGTGGCAGCCTCTGGCCTCCCTCTGCCTCTAGCTGACCACATTTCTGGGGCCGGTCTCATTTGCTTACGCTAAAGTGGACCCATGGGGTCAAAGGGCATTACAGGCTTTTTGGCAGATGCAGCTGAAGGACCTCTGGAAGGACTATGCCAATGCATGCACCAGCCTGCGTGGCCCCCCATCCCTGTGCCTGGTGATCCTGGGGTGACACCCTGATCCAGACTGTCTTTATCCTGTAATAGAGGAGAGGGCATGTCACCCCTACAGGCACCTTTCCTTCCATGCCACGGCAAGATGCAGACGAGCCACCCTCCCCAGACACACCCACCGCACACTGCAGTGGGGCCCAGGGAGCTGAATGTTCAGTCCAGGCCTCGCCCCCGTGGTTCAGTGAGATGCAGGGGGCCATGCGGAAATGCCAGAGGCAGCCTTCAATAAGGAAAAGTCAACAAGGCCCCAAAAGGCCTTGTTGTGGGAGGTACCCACAACACCTCCCAAGTGTGGGAGGATGCTTCAAGTCCAAGCACTCAGGGACGGCAGAGGGAAGGTGCCGCCCTCATCACAGGCTGGGCATGGCTTCCCAGGGAGGATTCCTGAGAAAGGCTCCAGATGTCCGGAGCCTCAGCATGCCCAATGCTACTGAGGTCAGACCTGGCTTTCACCTCCACAGTCCCGAAGAGCTGGTTCAGGACTGGAGTATGAATGAACCTTACCCCCGCCCCACTGAGCAGAGCATGCCAGGTCCTACCTGAGACTGTCACCTGAGCCTCATGCCGCAATGAGCAGAGCGTGCCAGGGGCTTGTGGGGGCTCAGGAAGACGGGTCCTACCCGAGACTGCCGCCTGAGTCTCACGCTGCAGCCCAGAGGTAGGACAGCACCACGGCCCCTCTTGAAGAACCCAGGGTCACCAAGGTCTGCTTGGACAATGGGCTGGCAGCCACGCCCCGGCCCCGCCCATGCTCCCTAGGGCCCACCCAGCCCTGCAACTCACCATATGCTTCCTGCAGGTCAGCGGGACGAGGCCGTGGCAGCGCTTATGGACCAGCAGTTTGCAGTTGATGCACCTGTAGCCTTGCCTCGCGAGGCCCCATATCCTCTCGCTGCACTGACCGCAGTACGCTCTCTGTAGACGGGAACAGAGCGTCAGGCCCAGGCCACGTTGAGGGGCCAGCGGAGAGGGCAGGCAGAGCCTTCCACACCTGTACCCTCTCAAAAGAGGACACTGAGCCGGGCAACAGGCGGCCCCGGCACCTTGTCCCTTCCGGGCGCCAGGCTTGCCCAAGCTCGGCAGCTTCCTCTTGGGTCCACCCCAAGGCTGGGGGAACCAACAGCCCCAAGGAGAGGCCTGGAACCCTGTTCTGCATGAGCGAACACAGGGGAGGTCCCATCGGGCAGGGGTGACGAGGCGCTGCTTCAGGCAAGGCCCCCTGGTTTGCAGGGGCTGGGGGGCTGCAGCTCCTGCTGGGCTCTGCGGAGGGCAGCCTGCCTGGGTCCTGTCTAGGGCTGAGCAGAGTGTAGGGAACCCCCTGCCTGCTCTTCATTCAAACAGAACCTCCTCCCGACAGCCTCAGAGAAGGCGAACTCGGACCACAAACATCTCGAACTGCTACACCACAGCATGCAATTATCTTAGTATTCTTTGCTCAGTATTTTTCAAGATTTTAAATGATCCTTCTTTATTCTTCATGGTTCTGAACAATTCGAAAATGATGGTAATTATCAGTTTGTTTGGCAACGTTTTCACGAACGTTTAAATGTTACGAAAGGCATAACTATGAATGTTGCCGGGACCTGCTTGGACATTTTCTGCCTTGACCAAGTGCCCGAAGGGTTCCTGGGAGCAAATCATCTACACTGTCACCGCGTGCCCAGAGTCTCCAGTTTAGATTCTTTCCAGACATAACCCTTTCATATGCTTTTTCCTCTTTTACCATTTTTCACGAATTTCCTTCCTATTACAGAGTCTCACCTCACACCGAGTGAAGAGGAAATACAGTGTACTGTGAACGGCATGAACTGAATTCACGTGAGGAAACGGGACCCTCAGCACGTGTGGGCACCAGGTGCAGCTGAGCAAACGGGGCTCACACCCCCTATGGGACTCTCCTGCTTATCAGAAAGAGCCTGCTTGGGACGCCAGGGCCCGGGGACCCTTCCCCTGCCCACAGCCCGCTTGTTTGGGTGGGGACAGATAACCAGCACCTAGGACAGTGCCCAGCACACAGCGGGCATCAGGTAAGAAAACACACGGGCATCATCGCTTTCAACTTCCGTAACAGGAAAAAGGAGCTGACTCCGCATCCTCTGCACACGCCACCTACATCAGCCTGGCCGTGACAGAGCCAAACCAGGCCCGTGGGCTCTATCCGAAGGAGGGATGGGTGGCAGGGGGCATCCCACCCGAGACTTCTGACTCGGGGCCAAGCTAGCTTAACGCCGGCACCGGGAGTTTTGCCCCAGTTGGTGCCCATTGGATGTGTGGACCCTGGAGTTAAAGGTGGTGCTTTGGCTGCTGAATGTGTGGACTCTGGAGTCAAAGGAGGCAGGCTCTGCCTCCCAAGTTCAAGTGATTCTCCTGTCTCAGTCTCCTGAGTAGCTGGGATTGTAGGTGCCTGCCACCACGTCTGCCTAATTTTTTATTTTTAGTAGAGACGAAGTTTCACAAAGTTGGCGACCTCAGGTGATCTGCCCACTCCGGCCTCCCAAAGTGCTGGGATTACAGGCATGAGCTACCGCACCAGGCCTCCCTGCTCATATTTTCTTTTCTTTTTCTTCTTTTTTCAGATGGAGTCTTGATCTGTTGCCCAGGCTGCAGTACAGCGGCATGATCCTGGCTCACTGAAACCTCCAGGTCCCTGGTTCAAGCTATTCCCCTGCCTCAGCCTCCCCAATAGCTGGGATTGCAGGCACCCACCACTATGCCCGGCTAAATTTTGTTGTATTTTTAGATGAGATGGGATTTCACTATGTTGACCAGGCTGGTCTCGAACTCCTGACCTCAGGCAATCCGCCTGCCTCGGCCTCCCAAAGTGCTGGGATTACATGTGTGAGCCATCACGCCCGGTCTCCTGCTCGTATTTTCAATGACCCATTTTCATGTTTTGGACCCTTACCTATTCTGATGGTTGGAGCCCCTGTTTGGGCTTTTACCAGCTTGGGCTCAGGATATCCTGCTTCCCACCGTGTTTTGCGGTTTTCGATTGCGAGCTCAAATGCCTGATTCATTTATCGGCGGGAATTCTTTGAGGCTGGCTTGAAGGGGAATTGCGTTGGCCTCTGCCAGTCACCTGGGGGCACTGCTTGGACCAAACCTGACAGGCACTGCTGCTCCTGGGTGGCATCTTCTGATATCCCTTCCCCACCCTCACTCTATAGCCTCTTCTCCAGGGACCCAAATGGTCACTCCTCTGTCCACTCATGATAAAGGCCAAAGTCTTGGGCTATCCACCCAGCTGTCCCTGTGGCTCTCGTGCCCTGTGTGCCACCAGCAGAGGGCTCTCCAGCAGCCACCACTCAGAGACGTGGCCTCCCATGGTTTATACTCCACATGGTAGAGTGGGTTGTTCACAGCAAAGGGAGTGGCAAACTCCAGACACGATTCCCACTCTTGCTTGTAAAAATAATGCTGAGCTGATCTTCTCCATACACAAACCTCCGAATGACGGGTGATTTCTTTTGAAGAGAGGCAGGATGAGAACATCGCTGCACATTTCCTGCGTGATTTCCAGACAGTAGGGTCCGTGTCTGCCCCACATCCCCAGGGTTGGCAGACCCCATGACAGCAACCCTGGGCTTTAATTACTTTTTTGTTGTTTTGTTTTTGTTTTTTGTTGTTTTGAGGTGGAGTCC